ATATTGCTAAAATTAATATTTAAAATTTTATTAAAAAAATAAAGTTTAAAAAAATAAATGCAGGCAAATTTGCCTGTATTACAATTTAAGGGATAACATTTAGTACATATTCCTTTTGTAGTATTACAAATACAATAATATCTAGTTCTTGCACTACAATATATACAATGTAATTGCGGATAAATCGTATTTTTTTTAGAGTTTTTCTTTTTTAGAAAAGGGTTTAATTCATGTAACAATTCTGTTTGCCCCCTTTTTTTTTGAAATCTTGTATTTGGTGATAAAACTATATCATTAGAAAAAATTTCACTAAGCATCTCATATGCTAATAACTTTCTAAAATCAAAGTGTGCTATATTATGTGCATTTTTACACCATTTTTTATATGTTAAAAAGGCATTCGCTTCAGCAATTCCTAGTAAAAAGGCATATATACGCATTTCCCAACTTAATCCATGCATAACATCATGAAAAGATATCATATTGTCATGCATCTGCATAGTAATTATATTAGTACCAAAAAAATAAATTTATAAAATGTTGTATTACCATGTTACTACAATATATTACTATATTTGCACTGCATTGATTATCATATTACAATATAAAAAGAAAATCGTAACAATAATATAATGCAGTGAATATAATATTGCAATAAAAAAAATTGTATACCTGATTATTAATATCGACGGCACTCTTAGAGCAGGAATAATCATAAAAAATTTTTGGCCTTGAAAACTTAACTAATGAAGATTTACTGCGCTCTTTAACTATATGTTCAACCTCATCAGCAATTGTTGTAGTTGACGCAGTTGCAATAACACACTGTGGTTTTCTATCTTTCAACGAAGCTGCAATTAAATATACATTATTAACAGTTGCAACTTTTGAATAATAGGATCCGTATACAGCTCCAAGATTTTGAACCATGTCTCAGAGATAATTTAGAGGCCACTCTCACTTTTCCTTAATATGAAAAATGCTATATAGTCAATTCTTCATTAGTGCTATGCAAAGCTTCGGGGATCCAAACCAACTATTGCCAATTATTGTTTGCCCACTGCCAAACCATGGCTGTGTTAATCACAAAACATATGCAGTTATACTACCATACTTTAAAACAAGCCATTTTTTTTTTCAATGTCTTTCTCTTCACAGAGTTCTAGCTGTATGATAATATTTATAGAATCATTGGCAACTACTTTCTATTCTTGTCCTACTGGATGTGGTTTGCGAGGTATTTTGCGAAGACCTGGAATCTTGTTTTTACAACCTAACCATGAATTCATTGATTCATCAATGCATAACATTCTTCCAGACTTTACAGCCTCAATTAGATTTTTATTGAAAGCATTAACAAAGCTACGGACGGAGTACAATGAATCATTAGAATTGGATACCTCTAATTCCTATAGCATCATTAAAGTATGGTATGATACGATTTGTTCAAATCGCAAAAGAGACATCCAACATTGAAAATTAAAAGCATTCATAGGTTTTATATGCTCCTGTATTGTTCTCCAATAAAAGCGACAATCAGATACAGGAAAAACAGACATCAACATCCATAAGTCTAACCACTTAATATATTCACCAAAATTTATATCAACTCAGTTTAAGGTTTCTCTTCCACATATATTAATTACATATTGTCTAATATAATTAACTGGAAAATACTAATACAACAACTTATAAGGTGAAGCTAAACCAATAAGTTCTATATTAACACTACATTCCTGGTTATAAGTCGGATGAATTTCACATTGATCAATAGTTATAGATTGTTCTTTTCAGTTTACTGTTGTTGAAAGATCGATTGTTCTTCTTGTATCATCATCTTCTTCATCATTGTCGTTATCATCATCATCAGAACTACATTCACTATTATCAGAAAGTTCTATTGGTATTGTTGATGATGGTAACCTTTCACTAACTAAGGTATCTTGCTGTTTATACCATTCATATTGCAAATTACCCACAAGAATATCAACAACTGTGTTTTTAATTTTTTCTAGATTAATTTGATATTTTAAACATCCACCTTCATTTAGCTCTCTAATGACTGTATTATAAAAACGTTGGTTCCTCCAGTCACCATCACGATTTTGTAGATGTTGGAGTACTATCTCTTTTGGCAATATTGATGCCTTACAACTAACCCGTTCTCCAACTGTAATTTTACTTGATATTCTTGGCATTGTGTATTATATAATCAGGATTGTTCTTATTTAATTTTTATTTATTATTGTTTTTTTTTTTGTTTTAATGTTCAGATTTTCTTTATACTACTAATTTATTGGTTCTTACTTTGTCTACATAATGCAGTTTCTACCCTTATATCTCTATATATGAATAATGGCAACATATAAGACAAAGCTTATGCTAACCAAAAAAAAAATGCGAATAACTATCACTTTTTACGTATGTACGTACAAGACAAGGTCTTGAAAATCTGCTTTTGATAATAATACTTTATCGTTATTGTTATATTTATTACTAATACATGTATTATCATTCTAAATCTGTCATAATTTTGATCATGAGTATGATCAAGATTGAATATAACATATAATATGACGTACAATATGACGTATAGTATGACTTGTGACACTGCGCCTTAGCACTAGTACTATAAATTTCAAGGTTAAGAATCTTTTGGGTATGCTAATTAATAATTTATAATCTAAATGTCGAATAGATTTCATTTTTTTTAGTTGGATATAGGCCGAATT